CACTTTTTCACTGGAGGAAGAGTTATTATGGATTATGGACTCAATGTATTTTAGTTAAAAACGTCTTAATGCTGGATTTGTCTCAGCTTTTGTCTTCTCCAGATATTAACTGATGGACTGGAGTGCTGTGGATTACTTGTATTGTTTTCATCAGCTGTTTATTCAGTTTGAATAAAATTCAAATATATTGTCAAAAGCATATGAATCTTGTGCAGGAATGGGCAGGAGATTCAGCAGGGGTTTCATATCCGAGTGGACCGCGTCTCTCAGCACAGTGGAGTGAGTGTCCTTAATAATGTTAATATAATTCAGCCGATTTTGAATGTGTGTATATAATCATCAATATTTTTTTCCACAGCATGATCATAAAAGGTCCATATTTGTGGGAAATTTACCGTACGGTGAGTAACAGTGTTTAGAAATCTCTATATCTTCTGTGACGCCACAGTTTCTCTTATGAACACTTTATTTGTTTTTTATGGCAGATATAATGGAGCTTCCGGTGCGTGAACACTTCGAGGATTGTGGGAATGTGGAGGCGGTGCGTTTGGTGCGAGACCGAGAGTCTGGGATGGGGAAGGGCTTCGGCTACGTCCTGTTTGAGGTAAAGCTGACTGTACCGTATACGTGACCCTGGAGCACAAAAGCAGTCATAAGGGTCAATTTTTCAAAATTGAGATTTATGCATCATCTGAAAGATGAATAAATAAGCTTTCCATTGATGTATGGTTTGTTAGGATAGGACAATTTGAAAATCTGGAATCTGAGGGTGCAAAAAAATCTAAATATTGAGAAAATCATCTTTAAAGTTGTCCAAATGAAGTTCTTAGCAATGCATATTACTAATCAAAAATTAAGTTTTGATATATTTACGGTAGGAAACTTACTAAATATCTTCATGGAACATGATCTTTACTTAATATCCTAATGATTTTTGGCATAAAAGAAAAATGTATAATTTTGACCCATACAATGTATTGTTGGCTATTGCTACAAATATACCCCAGCGACTTAACACTGCTTTTGTGCTGCAGGCTCACATTTGATGTGCACATTTAAGGCCTTTATATTATCATCACCATCGAAACTTTGCTGTTAAACCTGTTTATTACACGGCTCTGTGGAATACTTGATTCTGATTGGTCAATCGCGCCATCCAGCGGTATGTTATTCTCAGATAACAACCGCCAAATTGAATAACACACCGCTCATCCGGGTACTATGAGTTATCTTGACCTGTACTACTTATATGCTTAACGAGTCACTCCGCTATCGTTGACTGTCTGGCGCCATCTTGTGACTGAAAACACTTAACCACCGCGTGTTACAATGGAAGACATTATCCCTTACTTCACACACAATCTCCTCATGTCTTCTGTCTCTGATAGTTTAGAGTGTTTTATCCAGTAAAAGCTCTTTTAGTGTAATTGTAGAAACGCTTCTAGTGTCAAATCTTGACTGATTTTGATCAAGTAAGCGTCAGAATAACTGCAGTAATATCTCCAGATGAACACTTACTGGACTGAAGCAGCTCAGCTTTACTTGATTCTCCATCAATCATGTTTTAGAGTCTCAAATCTGATCCTCAGGATCTTTTGAGGAGCGTTTGTTTCCAGAAGCTTTACTTTCACTGTTCCTCAGCGGAGGAATGATCTTCACAAGCCTCCAGAACATCTCACATCTTCTGAGGAGCCTTTATTTCTTCAGCTCTCAATCACTGCATTATATGTTTGGAGCATTTCAATCTCATCTTATTAAGAGATATTACTGGAGATATAGAGACAGATATTTAGATCATTTTATGTCAGTATCTGCTGCACTGTTATAAAGATCTCATTGATTTACAAGCATCAGAATTTCATCACAGAAATATCAGCATCTGCAGCAAATTACTTTTGCTCAGTTTGAGTCTCTAAATAAAATTAAGCAGTTTTTTTTTCTTCCATTGAATATGATTGAATCTGATTGAATTGAATATGATACTCAACAGAAACACACATGCAAACTTTTTTTGGTAAATTTTTCTATAGTCTAAAGGCTTGTTCACACCGGGATGAATATCGAGCACGATTATCGCTGACGTTTAACGCCTCGTGACTAAACAAAGGGCGCCAATGTGAGCGTGCACATCGACGCGCAAAACGCGAGGCGCAAAAACGTCTTTTTTTTTTAAAAACGCTTCGGGCTCGTTTTTTTTGGTTTGACACGCTGCGTTAAAAACTGGCCGACCAATGAGATTGGCGCTTTTGTTCACGTGCCTGGAGCTGCTGAAGTTACAGTAAAACACGACTTGGTGGCGCTCAAGCACAAAACGGTCTTGCCGAGCACACATTGATACCTAACGACGAAGAGGAAGTAAGTAGACCAAGAAGATGCATCGAGGCAAGATGAATGTAGAGCTGCTGGTCTCATTGGTGTCTGAACACAAAGCGCTTTATGACAAACGCGACAGCAACTACAAAAATCTCGATAAGATGGAGTTGTTATGGAGAGGAACTGCAGATCAAATAGGATTCGATGTGTACTGGAGTATTTCTGTTTTTCATTAAGCGCCATCTAATGTCAGGGAGTGAATTTGCACGTTCACTCGGCTCATCGCCTGCGAAAATCGCTTGGGTATGAACACAAAAGACGCGTAGAAAAACGTCGGCGATAAGCACGCGCGATAATCGTCCCGGTGTGTACGAGGCTTAAAGGTTAATAAGAATTGTCCCATTTAAAAAAAAAAAATTCTAATTTTACATGTCAGACTTTACAGGGTTAATAGAGCAGTTCTGGAAGTAAAGTTCCATTTTATTTCAAAATTCCAATTCATGTTTAATGACCTCGTAAATAGTATTTAATGAAGTGTGCAAATGTGGTAAAACTCACTTAAATCTTTCCTTGTTTCAGAGCCCAGATTCGGTGATGCTGGCACTGAAACTCGACGGCTCCAAATTACTAGATCGAAACATCAGGGTGAAACGATCCGTGAAGAAGGAAAAAGAAAAGAAAACCCCTCCAGGCCGACCTTCAAGATTCAAAGGGTCAAAGCAAGAAATCAGAAATAAGACGGGAGGCAAGAACTTTAAGACAAATCCTGGCAAGAAACAAACACCAGCTTCATCGTTCAAAGGAGAGATGGCGGATCCTACTGCCAAAAGAGGCAAAGGACTGAAAAAGAAATTTAAGCACAAGAATAAGAAACCAAATGTTCATATTTAATGCTTGTACTTGTATTTTTACAAGTTTGGCGTTCTTATGTCACAAGTAAAAATGTGACTAAACACTTATGTTTCTGTCTTTTTTTATAACGACCCATAAGATCTTTTAATTTCCATTTGTTCCTCTAGCGTAGATGCGTAAAACTACAAGTAACTCGCGGAGGAAGATTGTTTTGGTCGTCACGTGGGTTGCGCTTCGGCTCCGCGCGGATGAATCTGATGTTTTGCAGCGCTGATCACAGATAATCATTTATCAGCACGAATCAAACTAATGACATCAAAACGAAACGAAAGGAAGACTGATAATTGCAAATATGAGCTTATATGATGCTGTTGTTTTGACTTGTTGAAATTGTTTTAAAATAATGTTACAAAAGTTTGGCAACGCTTGACATAACGATTGCTATTCATATCAGATAACTATAACTTGGCAAGGCTATTTATAGGCTAATAGACCAAAGCAGTAACTGGTTTAGAGATCGGCATAAATGTGATTATTTGAAACTGTTGATTTGTGTTTTATTATGAGCGTGTCGCTTTTACTTCGTTAGCAAACGCTTTCGAGGTTCATTTGTTAGTAGCCTGAACTTATTTCCTGTATTTAAATGACGCGAACACGCACGTGATAATGACGGAAGTATGCAGTTTCCCGGAAAATCCGTCCCGACAGCTGCAAGATATAATTATTGTAGGCTTAGTAATTTAGCGTAACGCAAAAACTCAGTTTTATGGATTTATGTTGTATTCGCATTATATTTTGTTAATTTTGAACAAAAAAAGTTACACGTGTAGCTTTCATTTTTAACTTTAACTTCATGTCTGTAGTGTTTGCTTTTCCAGTAATGTTAACAAGAATCATTGCATTAGATATCATGAACAAGCATTAATTAATCAAAGGTAATTATCATTTCTACATAAATACATGTTTAACATTGTTGCATTAATATTAGTGTATTATGTAAAACCATAAATTAATCAATAGAATATTTATTAATATCATGTTAGATTTAATAAATGCTGTCTGCAATGTTAGTTCATGCTACCTAATTAATTTATTGTTAATTCCCTGAAACTTGATCATATCACTGTTTGAACAACATGAGAGCAAATGAAGTTTGTTTTCATTTTTTGATGTTCTGTTGCTTTAAATTGCAACTGTGTATCGCAAAAATCTTAAGAGCAGCACGTTATTAATGGAGGCACATGAATGACTGACACATTGACTCCATACAATGATTTTTTTATTTTGTAGTTAAAAAAAAAAAAAGAGGAAACTCTCCCCTACTTGAAACAGAGCACCTTTAAAAGTGCGTCCTATCCCACAATACCACATTAGACGTCTCACAGCCTTTAAAAACAACTTAAATACATGAACACAGGTAAATGACAGCAGCATGTACTCTGGTGAATCATTAGTCAATGATTTACCGCTTGTATATTTCATAATTTAGTGAACCCAAAATGCTTTGTTAGTAAAAAATAATTGATGAAAAAAAAAATTGATGCAGGTCATGCTTGTTTTCTGTCATTCTAACACACTGAAAACACACGTCAACTTCAACAGGACAAACTCAGAAGCTCAGATTCAAAACAAAACTATGACACTTCTTTAAATCCGTATCTGTGCGTTCAGTGTTTGAGAACTGGATGGAAAGGGGGCGGGACAGAACACAGGTAAATGACAGCAGCATGTACTCTGGTGAGTCATTAGTCAATGATTTACCGCTTGCATATTTCATAATTTAGTGAACCCAAAATGCTTTGTTAGTAAAAAAAAATTGATGCAGGTCATGCTTGTTTTCTGTCATTCTAACACACTGAAAACACACGTCAACTTCAACAGGACAAACTCAGAAGCTCAGATTCAAAACAAAACTATGACACTTCTTTAAATCCGTATCTGTGCGTTCAGTGTTTGAGAACTGGATGGAAAGGGGGCGGGACAGAGCGATTGATTGATTCGAAGCAGACAGGAAGTGATGTCACAGAGCTACTCGATGTCGTCGTCGCTGACACTCTGAGCGCTGACGATACGCTGCAACGAAAAAGAGAGGAGCATTAGATTAGCATTTGGGAATTAAGAAGACATTTAAATAATAATAAAAACATGTATTTGTCTTATGAACAGTGTTGGGGTAATGCATTACAAGTAATGTGAGTTACGTAATCGGATTACTTTTTAAAAGTAACTAGTAAAGTAACGCATTACTTTTTAATTAAGGAAATATCGGAGTTACTTTGTTTCCCATGTATTGAGTGACAGTTCTGGTGTTGCCATGGTGACAGAAATCAGGAGTACGTGCAGAGTGTTGTGTGTGAACATGATCTTACTGTAGTTCTAGACTAAATATCAACATGTATTTATTCATCTCACCTGCACAAAAACAGATTCAGTATTCCTCAAAATGAATAAAAACAGTCAAATGCGAACTCAGAATTAGTGCTGGGCGGTATACCGGTTCATACCGAATAACGGTTTTTATTTTTGTTATGATATGAATTTTTAAAATACCGCAATACGTCGCTTAAACAACGTTCGGAACGCGACACTGTTTGAAAGGGGTCCCTTTTCACTGTTGCACTGTGGTGAGGGAACAGCTGTATGTGTTACTAAGCGTGAAAGTTCCGAAACTGAAGCTGTAGAACTAATAGAACGTGATGACACAGAAGAACTCATCCACAATATCCACACTGACCGCCACAAATATCCACCGCCGCCTGCCATCAGCTCCCGCGTCTCACACACACACGAGCGTGACTTTAGCACTAGATTTAGCAACTTTCAGACCCTTTTAGCGGCTTTTTTCCATAGAATATTCATACTGACAAACCTAGCGACTTTTTTGGATAAACCTTAGCTATGGTTCAGTTGGAATATTTGGCCAGTGCGGTCCCGCGAACGCGAGGTCTGACTTTCCCGGAGAAGTATCACCTCTCTCGGC